ATGAGCCCTTATTATTTGCATGAAATAAGGAAACAGGGATTTATTGGTAATTGAAAATAGATAGGAGAAAGTAGAGGTGTTCATTTGTATTTTTAAATCATACAAAATAAATTCAGAACAGTCACCATTGTGACTGACGTTAGATTGTAAAGATGCTTGTGTTGTATCTTGAACACTCAGGTAAAGGAACCTTTACTTGACATTTGAGAATCTTTTCGTTACTTATCGATCTGCAGATCTGTTCAACTTGGGAGTAGGATTGGAATAGCAATTTGTTTGGGTTGTATGTGTCAGGATCTTATAATTGAAGTCTCAAGTAATAAGAAGAATATTAATTGTGTATACTCTTTGAAAAGCACAGTGTGTGTTTACCAGTTTCTGTTTTTGCCTAAAGGAGTGACAAAGAATGATTTCCAGCCACCCAATTACTATGAGGTAATGGAGTTTGATCCCTTAGCTCCTGCTGTCACCACCGAGTAAGTCATTTACAAAATGATTCATTTATTTTTTGTCTTGGTTCTCTTTGGTACCAGAACTAACAGGGCTTGGTTATACGTTTAACTTTGTTTAGGGCTTGGCAGAAATTGATGGCCTTATTAAAAATGAGTTATGAGTTTTTATGGCAGCTGTTGCTCTTAATGGTCTTATTCTAGCCTCCTGACAAAAAAATTAAAATGCTGGGGTTGCACATTAAGAAATAACGGGAACTAAGGTGTCTTAATGGATTCCTCATAGATTCCCTCTAACTTGAGAAGGGCACTTATTCACGGGTGACATAAGTTACCCCCACACTGATGAACAGTTTTGCTGTTCTTTAAGAACTCATTCCTTAAAAAGGATATAAATAGAACTTATTTTAGTCTTCTCTACATATGACAATGTGCTTAGATTAATAAAGCATTACTGTAAAAATTGCTTTTTAACTTCAAGTCCTTAAAGCGCCACTATTGTATGATCTCCTATTGGTCAAGTGTATATAAATATTTATAGGGTGGCAGAGTTGTCAAGAGTTTTAATATGCTTTGCATGACTAAAGGTTATCCCCAAAATTCTTAAAAATGATTAAAGCAAGTTTATGGAAATCATTATTCAGAAACGCAGTCTGCAGGCTGTTTCCTGCCCAAAGTTTTGTTTTGACCTATGCAGTATTTAAAATGTGCCTTTTAAAAATTAATTACCAATAGTTAAGCTGGAATATTTAAAAATAAAACGACTGGATTTTTGATCTTATGGCTACTCTAGCAGCACCAGGCCTTCATTTTTCACATCCAAGGGTTTGAGGCTGATTATTAGCTATGGCCTAAATATAGGGATGCTCTGCAGCCCACCAGGCCCCTCTGGACACTGTGTCTCTTCTTTGCCTGGCACCTAGAGACCCCTGATGTTTTGATCCCTGGTTTAAACCCTCAGTGTAGTGATTGATTTGGGAGTAATTTATGAATAAATATTAAGGGACTTAAGATTGTGAAATTTCCCTGGGTCATTCTGCTTGATAACGTGATGTATCACTGAATGTATTTAAGAAACTGGCACTAAGAAAAAAATGAAACTGGTGCTAAACTAGGTATGCTTTCTAAAAACTTAATGTTTTCTGCATCCAGATAGGTAGCAGAAAAGTTCTTGATTGTATTCGAATTTGGAAATTGCTGTAAATAGGTAAGGTAGTGTTGGAGATACTGAAAGTGAGGAGACAGGGAGGCTGGAGAGAAGCTTTGGAATCTGTGTACTACTGTGGTTCTTACTTTCTGGGGGTTGGAGTGTCTCAGTTCCTTGCAAAGTCTGAATGAAACTCAAAAGAGATTTCTCTCCATAAAGAAGCACAGAATCTTGCAGAAAAATTTCTGGGATTTTCATATCACTGGTAATCCATGAACCCCAGGATGTGAATTTTTGCTTTTGCAGGACACACAATACAACATTTATGAAGACACACAAGATTCATTTGACAAATTGACTTAAAAATATTTATTAAATGCCAGGCACTGTGCTTGCTTTTTAGTTTATAATGTTGAATAAGAAAAATGCTCCCTGTCCTCAGAGGTTAAATGCAGCATGGAGACAAATATTAGACAAATCACCAGCCAAATATATACCTATGACTTGTGCTAACGGTATGAAAGACGATGGTGACTTGAGAGAACGTTAACAGGAAGAACTGACTCAAATGGGGGCCAGGGAAAAGTTGAGGATGTGACATTAAAGCTGAAACCTACAATTATTAGTCAAGTGAAAAGCTGGGAATGAATATAGTTAGCCCCGGGAACAACTGGTACAAAGACCCAGGGGAAAGTGTTTTGGCACATTCAGGGGCCTAGAATTGCCAAAGCCAGAAGTGAGGAGTCTAAGAACGAGCCTAATACCAGATGTGGGAACTATAATTTGGAAGCAAAGAGAAGGGAACATACACTTCTGAACAACACTGCTGAAAAGGACAAGAAAGATGAGAACTGAAAACTAGACAATAGATTAAATAACAGAAATCATTAGTGGTTTTAGTCAAAGCCACTATAATGGATTGATTAGGGAGAGAAGCCAAATCAGTGTGTTAGGTAAATAAGAGATGAAACACCGACAATAAGCATATGTATCTTACTAGAACTTAAATGTGAAGAGAGGATGGAATATGGTTAGGCAGCCAGAGGATTACTGAGACAATTACTGCAAGTACATAAGGGATTAAGAACTGCACCCTGTTGTATACAGTGGGAGTTAGCATCTGGTATAAAGTGAGAGGGTGGAGATTTAGGAAAAGGGGATAACCGAATGAGTGAAGTGTTTGAGAAGCTGGGGTAGATGGGTTCACAGAAGTAAAGGAGGATGCGAATGAAAACAGACTTTAAGACTTGGTTATAGGAAAATGAGGATGTTTCCATAGGAAGGCATTTAATTTATTAAGAGTGAGGTTTCTGCCAGTGGGGTTAGTGGGAGCGGAGAGGGAGGGAAAGAAAAGAAATTAGAGGTTTAGGAATGAAGAGGGTTGAAATCATTTTTGTGGGAAATGATGACAAAACGTTTTAAGGAAACATTAAATTGCAGGACCATGCTGGGCCCTCCTGAAGTTGGTAATCATGGTCTCACAGTACTGTGATTTTTATGAGATTTTTCCTCAGGCATGTTTTGCTCTTTGCATAATATGAATGCTGTGGTTTTGAGTGCATTTTCTAGCAATAGACATATGTTAAGCATCTATAAAGAATTGACTTGTATATTACAATATAAAATTATAGAAATAACCATTTTCAGTTAAAGGTTGCTCAGGAATGTGGACTATAATCACATAGGTTAAATATTTTTTTTTAATGTCTTAAAAACCAGGAGAATTGAACAGGTGTGTTTTTTAAGCAAAAAGCAAACTATCCAAACTTTAGCCATATTTTGCTTTTAAAGTTATAAGTAAAATGAACTAGATCTATAAAATACATATGAAGAGGCATAGAAATTGCATTAGAATTTAAGAAAGCCAGGACGTTAGCTTCTGGGCAGAGATACTTGTTTTGATTCACTGATGTAGCCTACACTCCCCAAAAGCCCCAGATTTTTAGTTATGGTAATGACAGTTAAAACCCAAAGTAGTACTTTCAATTCATAATATAACCTTTTTACCAGGATGGCTTGTTTGTTTCAGAGCTATTTATGAAGAAATTGATGTTCATCACCACAAAGGAGATCAAAGTGACAGTCACTGTTGAGGTAAAGACTTCAGTCACTTCATCCCACATTCCGTGTAATTTCAGTGTAGCTGTTGCTTCCTGTATTTAGTATGTACATTCTGCAAGGGCCATCTCAGTCTGACACTTTGGTGAGTGAAATATTGTATGAGCTTCCCTGGATCAAACTGTAGGGAACTATTGTTCATTAATGAAATATACTGTTATCTTGTAACCGGGAAATGAGACTTGGAATGCATAAGTTGGTGTAGGCATACGAATACTAACCAAACTAGACAGTCAGTAGAAACTTCCTAGCACTGAACCCAGGCATGTGTCTTTAACACGCTGTCAGTGCTGGTGAATTGCTACCAGTACAACCTATTCATTGTCAGTACTCCAGACGGGTCTGGGATTTTCCTACTGCTGCCTGACTCATCCCATTAATTTACTAATGAACGATCCTTGTGACCTATAACCTCATTTTATTTTCCTCACACCCACCCCCCCTTGGAAGAAGAAGTACATTCCCACCTTTCTTATCCTAGACTGGTGCCCTTCAGGCTCCCAGTAGAGGACAAGGAAAAAGCTGTCAAGGAATGGGGAAAAGAAGGATAGGATGAAAACCGGCCATTTTCTTCTCTCTATTTTAGGTGAAAGTGGACGAACAGCTCATAGCCACAATCAAGGGTGCCAACCCAGTCCGACTTGAGGCCTGGAAGCCTGTTAACATGTCAAAAGCCACATTTCTTCTCTACTATTAAGAAGATTAAATATCAGTAGAAGAATAACAGTTAAAGGGTAACATGTGTGGTTCCAGCAGCTGGAGAGGTTTTTCAGTGGAACTTATTTATAACAAATATTCACTTAAAACTTCAGCAGAAGATAAATTACTTAGTATTTGGGCCAACCAATTTAATTGCAGTATCTTATGTCTCTCAGATCTTTCTAAATTGAGAATCATCATATGACTCTGATAAGATTATTTTATTACAAAATAATTCTGAGTAGATAAGAGCATTTAGTGTGAGCAACTAAATGTATTCTTTGGGAAGAACACTGAGTGCCTTCACTTAACTAAAGTTGAATGTAAAAGTCAATTTGTACTTCTTATAGATACTGATTTGTACTTCTTCATAAATAAGGACTGATTTAGAATTATTGTTAAAGCCTTGATGACTATAGTTCAATTATATCTCAAGTGTCCTGAACAGGTGGCCAACATTAGTCTTTGTAATATTATGTGTTTCTTTTTTCTTTTTACTGTAACTTAATAGTTCTATTTGGAACAAGATTACTGGAAAACGTTCAGATTAAATTGTGCCTTGGTTTATGTAAATTACAACAAATAAATTGCTATTAAAATAATTTAATACATCTTTTTTACACAGTTTGTTCCCAGAAGAACTTTTGATGTCAGCAAATCTTCACAAACCCCCCCCACCCACATTTTAACATTCAGAGGCTTACGACTATGATAGTAAATGCTAGCAGCTCAGTATATATGTATTTTATTTCAATTTCATGTTACCATAATTTCTAAATAATTATTAAGAACTCTGAATATAAAATAGCTGTAGTTCTTAAAGGAAAAATAAAGTTAAATTTGAAATAAGAATGTAAATCTTTGAGGAAGCTGTTAGGGATTAGTGACTCCTACTCTGAACTTTGAAAATAGTGACCATTCACACTGAGAAAAATAGCAACCAACTATTTTAGACATGACAATAGACATGGTCAGAAGTTCTGGCTTATGACCTGAAACAGATAAACTTTTTTTAAATTCTCAAATTCATTGCCATAAATATGAAGTGTTAATATTAAATAATTTGGTTGAATTCTCATTAAACTCTTATGTCTATTTAGAATATAGGACAGTAATTAAGGTAATTAACAGGTTATCCTTTTAAGGGGGTAAAATAAGGGAAATAAAGCAAGTAGAACCATTTAAAATAGGCTTCACATTATTGTAGAATATTTCTTCTCAAAGAAGGCAGGATACATGATTTTTCAAAAATCACAAAAGACTTAGTTGCCACCATCAATTATAGCCCGGAACTGGCAACTTGTATCCTTCTTTTGCTTCAAAAAAAGTATACGAAAGAGTGATAAGATCAACATTCACCATTTTGGGGTCTTCAGCAAATTCAGGGTCAATGTAGAAAAACACCGGCATATCTACTTCCTCTTGGGGATTAAGCCTTTGTTCTTCAAAACAGAAGCACTAGAAGTTATAAAAAGGTATTTGTTTAATAACATTTCTCTTTTCTTATAACAGTAACAGAATTCATTTCTTGACTTTAATAAGCACACTATTAAATATAATTTTTACGTCCTATGACAGAATTATCTTTTCATCACAGATTGAGTTTTGCTTTAAAAATTGAGAATTAACAGATTAACTATAATCTTAAAAACACTCATCCATTTGGTTTAGCTCTCAATCTCTGGTAGCCATAAGCAATGAAGAAAAATAGCTTGAATTAGAAGAAATGACTTTTCAGAAATTATGAGTATCTGCTAAAACTCTGTAGTGAGTTTCATACCAAAGTTTAATGTACTTTTTCATCATACTCTTTAAGTTTGCTTTTAGTTGTTACCTGTATTTTATTGAAATATTGTCCAGCTTCAAACGGAACAACATTATATGTAGAAATCCCAATTACTGGTTTGTCAGTAGGATTCTTGGCTTTATAAAACGCCAGTGCAGTTTCTCCTGGCACTACCTGTTTTAAAGCAAACATACATGATTGATATTTTAAATCTCACTGAGCTCCTTTGTCCCCTATTAAATTGGTCATATTATTTTTCTTAGTCATCAGATCATATTACTTAAGCTAATAAACTATTTATTACATTAAGCTAATGTAAGGCTTAGCAAAATAAATTATGAATATTACTCATAAACATATGTGAGTTTCAAACTTTATTTGCATCTATCAATGAAGAGAATCAATACTCCATTATGTATTAGTTACAGACTGTCCGCTTGTATACCTGAGGTCTTCAAGCAATACTCTGGATATTGAGTTATTTAAAGTGTGTTCAAGGACAAGATAAGCATATCACAGCCCATGCTTAACTTCTGTTGAACACTTGCACCTGAATGTCATGATTAAGTAAACATTTTCTTTAAAGGATACCAACATTAAACTTACTTCACAACCAAAAGAAATTAAACTTACAACCAAAACTGACTCAACAGAATGTTTATTAAACCAAAAAATGTTAATAATTTGTTTTGAGAAAATAAGGAAAACAGCATGGCTTTTAAAAATTCCAAAGGATATTGTCACTTATACCAATTCAGCCACTAATATTTTGTATACTACCATATACCTGGAACTAATATTCAAAAGATAAGCTATAAAATCCTTAATCATTGAAGAGATTCAGTCATGGTAACTAAACTGGGCAAGCTTTTCCAGTAAGTGTTGAAATTATTTCTTTCTGGCTAATCCTCAGCTAATAAGATAATATCAGTTAAAAGTTTTCCCAGGACTGCTGTTAGTTACAATATTAGAAAAATTGTAGGTGTAGTTTTATTTGAGTACAACATGAATACTTTACTAGCTACTGATTATTTCAAAGGTCCTAGTTGTTTTTTTCTTTTTTTTTAGAGACAGGAATACTTCTGATATAAACCAATAAACTACTTTTCATTGTAACCTATAACTGTCAAGATTTTTCCCATCATTTATGCCAGAGGAAAACTTGGAAACTTACACAGTCTGAAAGCTAATGCTACTCCCAACATTAGTGACCAGAGGACTATTTAGTCAACACTTAGTATAATGTTAATAAAACAGATGGCATTTTTTATTGTTCTAACATGACTTAGTATTACTATCATATAACTTAAAAGTTCAAGTATATATGCTCTTACATTAAGTGTAGGGCACTACTGGAAGGTAGTCTATGGGAATAAAAAAGTATAGTAATGGAAACTGTCAGTATATCAAAATTAAGTTAAATCAGTTAACCAGTTTAATGAAAGAAGGAATTCCTATTGAAAAAAGCAATTCTTTTAATGACTGATTTAGTCACTTACATATATTTCTGTTTGCTGAGGTCTGAAATTCCACTGGAGACTTGCATGCACATCTGCGTTAAAGGTAACTTTAATTATTCGATCTTTAACAGGCACCATGTTTTCAATCTGGTCTGATGAATGACCTGCAACTGCTGATCCTCCAAGTCCAGTAGCCTAGAAAAAGATACTGAATACATTAAACAATACATTCAGGTGTTGATGATCTATTTATTTGATAAAAATTAGTATTTTAAAATGATTTAACCTTAATAATCCATTGGAGCCAAGTTACATGCTATTACCGACCATTTCCTGAAACTTTGTCAATAGTCTGACCACTTTGGAGCTGTCAAGACCCTCTATTTGTTAAAGTCATTCTGTTTTTCAGCAGTCACTTGGTTATCTGGCATGGCCAACTTGCTTATGTGGCATGGTCAAAAATGAGTTATTAGGGGAAAGCAAATTCTCTTAATAAGTGAACTATTATCTCACTGATGACAAAGCACAGAACTTCCAGCTTAGCCTTTTATTAATCATCCTTTTACTGCTAGTATTTTATATTAACTATTATTCACATGTAGAAATAAAATTTACTCAAACCTGGTCATTTCAATGAAAACAACTTCAATAACTCCATTTTTCCATGTTCTTGTCTGGTCTTTTTTCATATCATAGCTTTTGGAGTCCAAATTAGTTTGTTGCTGCATTTCTGTATCCTGCTTTTCTAAAGCATCGTAAGTATTGTGACCATAATGTGTTTGTATCTTTTTCTATTCTTCTCTGTATAGTACAGCTTTTGTATGTATCACCAGTTAATCAGAACACCTAATCCCTTAGGTGAATCAACCAGTCATAGGGCTGGATAATGCATCTGACACCCCTCGTTTCTCTTCACTGCCATCATTATGTTCAGATGTTTAAAAAAAGAAGTCCTTACTTCCAAGGTCATCATTCTTCTGATGCTTGAGGCTGTCAGAATTCTGGTTTCCAATTTACCTGTTGCTATACTAGGAAAAAAATACCAAATTTGAGTCTAGGGGAAAACTGACAGCAAGATATAGTATTATTTTAACGTTTTGTTTGTTACACAAGTGATGTAACGTTGCTTCACTGATGCAACATGGTTCAAGTACTTGATAATCCAAAAAGATGGGATCAGAGAGTAAATCTTTGCACCTGTGTATAAGGTATATTCTTCTGCCAAAAAGTGCTGTCATGTTTGAGTTTTAATTCCTTTTCCTCAAGAACATGAGTTATGTGAATAAAATAAATAAGTGTCCTCCGTCAATATTCTGTGATACATTCTTTGAATATAAATTGTTCAAGTTTCTAAGTTCAATGCTTTGAGAAATTAAAATAGACAAAGAGTAAAAAAAACAAAAAAGTACTGAAAAGAAATCTTAGACTCTTAGTTGTGCTATTAGTGAGCTCCAAGAACTGAATGAGCTTTGGGCTACCACTTTACATGCTCATAAAATAAGGTCTCTGTATAAGTGTTTTATATAATCTTATTTCTGGTTTTAAAATTCTGTGATTTCTTGAGTAAGAAAAGTGTTCTTTTGGAATTATCACTGTTCAACATCCAACTTCTTACAATTACAGATTATTATCTTTAACTTCTTGCCTTATGATTGCCACGTGAACATACAAACACACATAATATTGTCAATTACTTTAGTTTGGGGCAGGGTTTCTCAACCTCCCATTATGGGTTGAATAATTCTTTGTTGTGGAGGGAGTGTGTCCTGTGCACTCTTGGATATTTAGCAGTATCCTTACCCTCTACCCACCAGATGCCAGTAGTATCCTATCCCTCCCATCCCCTCAGGCTGTGGCAACCAAAAATGTTTCAGATACTGCTAATGTTCCCTGGGGAACAAAATAACTCTTCTCCAACCCCTGGAGGTTTTTTTTGGGGGGGGGGGAGAATTCATACTTGCTTATTTGGACTCAGTTCTTTTTTTTTTTTTGAGACAGAGCCTCAAGCTATCCCCCTGGGTAGAGTGCCATGGCTTCACAGCTCACAGCTCCTGGGCTCAAGCGAGTCTCCTGCCTCAGCCTCCCAAGTAGCTGGGACCACAGGTGCCCGCCACAACGCCCAGCTATTTTTTGGCTGCAGCCATCATTATTGTCTGGCGGGTCCGGGCTGGCTTCAAACCCACCACCTTAGGTGTATGTGGCTGGCGCCTTAGCCACTTGAGCCACAGACGCCAAGCTGACTCAGTTCTACTTATGATTTAACCAACTGCTAGTTATAGGGTTCGTGGTGGCCTCAGCAGAAAAGTGTTTCACATTCTATACTCATCCTCCAGAACTCAAGCCCATGCAAATTCACACATAAATGCTGACATCAGGATACTGAAAAGAAAAATCCTTTGAATTCTCCTCCTTTACCACCTAAAAGAAAGATAAGATGATCTCCATAAAGAGAGGGAAGTACACCAGGCATTGGTGGCAAGAAAGAGCAGTAAGATAGGGTTCTAATTCCAGTTGTCATAAACTAGCAATTCCCAAACTCTGCTGCACATCGCACTTCCAGAGGAATCCTTGAATATTACTGATGCCTGGCTCCCACTCTGACATTCTGATATAAAAGGTAATGTGTGTGACCTGGGCAACGGGATTTTTAAAAATCACTCCAGGTGATTCCCAATGTACAACAAAGTTTGGTAATGATTACCTTAAATACTTAGATATGTAAGATATGTAAGCTAATATGTAGCTCTCACTTGTGGCATGACTGTTAAACTGAAATTCCTACTCTCTACCCTAGATTTCCTAACTTGAGTCTCTGAGATAGTATATCCTTGGCAAGCTCCTCAGGTGATCACAATGCCCCGCCAGAGCTGCAAAATACTATTTTAAGAACTAAGGAGAAATCTATGAAATAAGTGAAGTTTGACTTTGCCAGTGATTCTCAAGTTTTAGCCGCAAAATCACCTAGAGGGCTTATTAAAATACAAGTTGCTGGTCCTGCCCCCAAGGTTTGATTCAGTAATTCTGCAGTTGGGTCCTAGAATTTGTATTTTTAACGGGTTCCCAAGTGACGCTGGATGCTGTTGGTCCCAGAGGCCACACTCTGCGAATGGCTGCACTGTAACTTCTGATCTAAAAGGGAGTCCAGGGTAAGCACATTACAGTTATAATATCGGGGGCAGCGGCCTCAAAGGCCTACCTAATTCATGCCTCTTGTACGGATGAGCAGCCAGTACCAGTTTAAGCACCAGAAACAGGAACACTCCCAATTCCAGGGCTAATCTCAGCACATAAACCACATGTAGTTCTCAGATTAATGCATTAATAAGATACATTTTTAAAATGTGTGAGTTAGGTTGTCTGAGTGGGTAAGGCAACTAAATGCTGGGTACATAATTAGAGCCTACACATTTTTTTTGGCGAGGTGTCTCAGAAATCAGGGAATTTCACTCCGTAGCGTGGTATCAGCACGATCACTATGGAGAATTGGGTTCTACTTGAAGCTCTGCCACTTTCCTTGGTGCCCTTAGGTAACTCACAGTATTGAGCCTGTTTCACACCCTTTGGTAGAGGATCTTGAACATCACTTCCAACTATGGCTAGTAGCGCGATCGCTGTCCAGGGATTCTTCCTGCACCTCCTCCCCTTCTGACCGCGCCTCCCCGTGGCCACCGCTGGGCCCCTACCTGGCAATAAAGGCGATAGAGGGGCACCGCAGCATAGGACGCCCCCAGCATGCCCACGGCGGCCGCGGCCACGTACGTGAGGACCGTCTTGTTCCGCCGCCGCCAGTCCTCCTCCTGCGCGCGAGTGAAAGGGTTCGTGCCCTTCGGCCGCCGCGGCGGCTGCACAGCCGGGCTCCGACCTCGAGGGCTGCAGCGCTTCCACGTCCCGAGCCGCCTCAGGGACGTGGAAGCGCTCCATTCGGCATCTGCTGTCCCCTTCCACCGTGGCCTAAGAAACGGTTCTACTCTGTCCGCAGCCGGGGACCCAGGGTGGCTCCAACGCCAGCCACAGAATACGAAGCGCCTCCATCCCGGCCGCCAGAGCCCTCCCATATCCCCCGGAAAGAACGTCGGCCTGTCAGGGACGGAAGTCAGTTCTCGCGAGGCTTGCTCTGTCTCGCGATAACTGCGTTGAGCCGCCCGCTGCCTTGGCTACCCGACTCTTCAGGTGGCAGCGCGTGTAGTCGGGCTACGGAGGCCGGGTTGCCAGATTACGGGTAAGTTCGCGTTTCGCTTCGAGACCGTTCCTCCCGCTGTATACGTCCCTCCAGTGTCTCTCTAACTTACTTTTGGGAAAATGCAGTTCTGTCCTCCATGTGCAAGGTTCTCTTCACTTGGGGTCGTGCCTCTCATCTTTGTAAACTCTTCCAACCTTTGTTTCGACCTAGCGTCCCCCCGCGGCCGCTGTCCTGCGGTCTTTTTACCCGGGGTGCCCTGATCACGGGCTCCTGCGCTCGACTTGGGGTCAGGGCTCGCATCTTTTGGGGAGCCTTCCTGTTTAACCCTTGGACACTCGGGACTTGTGCATTTTCTCAGCGCCTGGGCGGTGGGCTCCCACGGCTCCGACGCCCCTTTTCTACTTGCCCAGTGAAAATCGCCGCATCTGAAGCGGGAGGGACGCTGTCAAACTGAAGTCTGGATGAGGGAGACTAGGATGTGAGGGACGTTTAAGGAAAGATTGAAGGAACAGAACCCCGTGGGAGAGGGAGGATAGCTTTCTTCAATGAGTCCTACAGGACACCCTGGAAGGGAACAGCTTGCATAGCCGATTTTATTGCAATGGAGGGAAGCATCTTTCTAGAAACTGTAAAATCATGCTGAAGAGCTCAGGTTCCGAGGTCGGGCAGTTCTGGTTTCTTACCCCGGACCTCACCAGGGCTCTGTGTCCTTAGGCCCGTTATTTGACCTCTCTAAGGATTGGTCGCCTTACTTGTAAAATGGAAATCGTAATAGTAAATGAGAGAATATGTATAAAGTGATTTTTCACGATGCCTGATGCATAGGAAGAAGTTGGTAGAAGTTAGGCTCTATTTTTTTTTTTTTTTGATAGTCAGAGCCAGTCTAATGTTCTCTACTTTGTGGATGTGGAAACAGAAAGCCTGAGAAACTTTGTCATTCAATATTTATTTATTTATTTATTGCAATCAACCGTGGGTGGAACACTATTCAACTTGCTGGAGCTATAGACAGAACAAATTAGACAATAGACAGAACACCTGTCTGTTCCGGACCAGTGCTTTCTACGGAGGGACTCAGGAGATTATCAAGCACCAGGTACATAAGGAAAGTTCAGGTAACAGTGCAAATGAAGACAAGGGACTAGCACAATGTGATTGAGAGTGATGAGGAAGAGGATAGAAAAGTAAGGTCTTTCTGAAGAGGTGACATTTGAATCTCGTCTTGTGTGATAAGGAGCTACTGACACAACGATAATTCTAGGCCCTGCAAAGGCCCAGGGGAAGGAAAGAGCTCCAGATATGATAGAAGAGCACAAGGAGGCCGGTGTGTTCCTAGTATAGTGAGGGAGGAAATGGGGTCAGAGCAGGTGTACAAAGGCCTGATAATACAGAGCCTTCCAAGCTTTGTCCAAGGATTTGGATTATATTCTAACAGTTATAGGAAGCTGTTGGAGTGTTTTAAGAATTCAAATGATGTGATTTGATTCACATTTTTTTTTTTGAGACAGAGTCTCACTTTGTCATCCTTGGTAGAGTTGCTATGACATCTTAGCTCACAGCAACCTCAAACTCTTGGGTTCAAGTGATCCTCTTGCCTTATCCTCCCAAGTAGCTGGGACTACAGGCACCTGCTACAAAGCCCAGCTATATTTTAGAGACGAGGTCTCGCTCTGGCTCAGGCTGGTCTCGAACCCGTGAACTCCAGCAATCCACCTGCCTTGGCCTCCACAGTACTGGGATTATAGACGTGAGCCACTAATCAGGCATTCAGCCCTGATTCACTTTTTTTTTTTTTTTAAAAGAAAGATACTGATTATTTTATGCAGAGTGGATTCAAGGAAAGAGGACAAAAAAGTGAAATTAGCAGTTAGCAGTTGTAGTAATGAAGGTGAGTGATGATGGTCACCTTGAATGAGTAATTGATTAACTTGTGGTCGCAGGCCAGAAAGTTGCCAAGGGAATAAAATCCAAGTATCCTCTGACTCCTTTCTACTCTGATACAATCTCAAACATTGCAAGCGTCTATGATTCTACTAATTTATTCGTATTGTGTTATGACAATGTTTGAAAATCTTTTCATCTATATATTTCTTGGTTCTTGTACCAGATTTTCAGTTCATTCAGGATCAGACATCTCATATTTAGATTTTCTAACAGCATACACTCAAATCCCATGTAGGCATTAATGTCCTTGAAGCCAACAGGACATTCCCTCTGATTATTATTTTTTTCCAGGCACCCCTTCCACATAATTCTAGGTAGCAGTATAAATATATATTGGGAGTAGTGTTTTTGTCTCGGGAGTCTTTCCTATTTTATTTTTTATAATTGTAAGTTGAAACTATTCCTTTTCACAGTGAATGATTTTGCTAGCAACAAAGTGGTATTTATAGTGGTCTTTATAGCCGTCTACTTTAATAGAGGAAAACATGCATTGTATCTGGTCTTAGTATGATAATGTAAAATAACAATTCCTATTTACTGGATAACTAAAATAATTTTTGATATTTCACTTATTATGTAAAACATCATTTAGTTAAATCTCCAATTAACTTTCACTTTGAAATAATTTAAAGTTTACAAAAAAGTTGCAGAAATAGCACACAGATTTCCTACAACCTTTTTGTTCCTCTGCCTCATATTGGAAGAATAAAAGTTATCTTGGGCCACATATTAAATTCAAAAACGCTAGTGAAGGCTGATTAGCCAAACAAAGGTCCATGCATACTTTTCATAATATCTGACACCGCAGAGAAATAAAAAAGCTGTGACCAAGTCAGTATGCAGCCCTCCACTGCAGGTCAGCCACTCCTGAATAGACTTTCCAGCCTTAACGTTTTTGTACCATTTGAGATTAGATTGTAGACATGATGTTCCAGAGTTATAAATTTCATATTTAACTTGTTTATTTCCTAATTACAAGGACACTTTCTCATTCATAACCACAGTACAGGCATCAGAATCAGGAAGTTAACAGTAATCTAATACTGCCATATGTAATCAGTTTGGGGCTGCCATAACAAAATACCACAGTCAGGGTTGGATAAACAACAGAAATTTATTTCTCATGGTTCTGGAGGCTGGAATGTCCAAGGTCAAGGTGCCAGTGGATTCAGTTCCCGGTGAGGGCTCTTCCTGGCTTAGAGACATCTGACATCTTGCTGTGTCCTCACATGCCTGGGAGAAGTGAGTGAGTGAACTCTCTTTTCATAAGGACACCAATCCCGTGGGATCAGGGGCCCACCCTTATGACCTCATTTAGCCCTAATTATTTCTGAATCCGAATGCAGCTATACTTGGGGTTAGGGCTTCAACTTAGTAATTTAGAGAAATACATTTATTAAGGCCTTAATACCATGTTATCGATGAAGTCCCTTTAAGTTATCCTACTTGTCTCTATAGTTTTTATTTGGATCTAGGATCTAGTCCAGAATTAGTTACTGTTTTTAGGTGTTATGTCTCTTTCATTTCCTTCAGTCTGGCATAGTTTTTCAGTCTCTCCTTATCTGTCATGACTTTGACATTTTTGAAGAATATAGGCTAGTTCCTTGGCATGATGTCCCATGATATAGGTTTGTCTGATGTTTCCTTATGGTTTCTGAACCTTTGGCAGGAACACCATAGAAATGACGCTGTGCTTCTCTCAATGAGTCCTCTTAGGAGTCACATGATGTCAATGTATTCCAATACTGTCATGTTAACTTTTATCTCTTTATAATATTATATCTGCCTGGTTTCCCTATTACAAGGTTAACTAATAAATATGGGGAGAAGCTTTGAGACTATAAATATTCTGCTTCAATCAAACTTTCTCCTTCCAGATCAAGCACCCATTGATGCTGCTTGTCCAAATGTCTTATTACTGTGATGGACACCAAATGACAGTCTTCTAAGACTCATTGGTTGGCATTTAACTGTAAGGTAGAACGTTCCTTTCTCCTCTATAGATTTTTTATTTATTCATTTGTTTATATCAGTATAGACTCATGAACTCCTATTTTAATACAGGGTTAACATTTTTTCCTATTTTAACCAGATTCATTGGTTGGCATTTAACTGTAAGGTAGAATGTTCCCTTCTCTCTATAGATTTTTTTTATTTATTCATTTGTTTATATCAGTATAGACTCAGGAACTCCTATTTTAATAAAGGGTTAACATTTTTTACTATCATTTTTTTTTATTCCAATTCAGAATTTTCCTAGACTTAACCATTAGAAGCCCTTTTTTGACTTGTTCCCACCCTTCTTTGATCACTGCTCTGCTTTCTGGCAAAGCAAGATAGGCAAGGCCCCCCTTTTATTTTCCAGTCCTAGCCTTGGAATAAACCATTTCTGCAAGTAGTTTCGGTTCCCTTAGTGAAAGGTGCATTTTGAAACACAGTCTGGGGCTAGAAATGTTCATTATTTGAGTGTCCTTTCTCCTAGACCATCTCAGCAGAGAGAACTAGACAATTTGTACGTATAAACACATAGAGATATGTGTATGTGTGTCCAATAGTGAGAAATCTGGCTATCGTTATCTTTAATGTGTTTACTTAACTTGTGCAATACCTCCTGTATGTTAACAAATTGCTGTAGCTGAGAGCTTGGCCCCAGAGCTCATCCCTGCATGGTATGTCAGCCCCAGGCTACCACTGAGCACCATCCAAAAGCTCAGAATGACAGAAGGAAAGAGGAAAATCTAGCTAGGAGGTTCAACTCTAGACATTTTAGAAAGGGTATGAAGAAGGAGGAAAGGCCAGTAAGGTAGTTTGGTTCTAGAAGCAGACCTTTCTCTTACTCTTTTCCTAAGCACAGCCCACAAAGAGGCCAGTCTCCCAATTTTACAGGGGAGGAAACAGGCTTACAATGAATGGCAAAGTAACTTGTCCAACCTTATTCGGCTGGACAGTGGCAGAACTGGATTTTAAGCCTGGTTATTTTCTGACTCCGTGCCCCTTGCTATTTTTACTGCATCTTGTAGAAAGCAGCTTTGCAACGGATGGCGCCAGACAACCACAAAAACACA